TAATTTTCCCAAATTTGCCAATCATTAAACCCCCATAACTTAACAAAAATAATCACAAGTGAAATATCTTTTCATTTTTAAGCTCAGGACCTCGATATCTTTTGAAGATATAAGAAGTTCCGTAAAAAAATGGCTAGTTATAGTCGAAATTTGTCGGAAGAAAAAACACCCCGAGCACAAATGTTCCTTCACCTGTGTTACGAAAGTCGGAAGAAGAAGCTAAATAGACTACCGCAAAAACTGAAAACTGTTACTATGAGAAAACCATTGATCTAGTTTGTGATTGGAAAGTTTTTTCGAGGATTTGTCGAAGAGAGTTGAGTCCTAAATTAACAATTCTAATCTTACTTTTATTATCTTGAAAACGTTCTACGTAAAAATATACTGAAAAAAAAAATTGTAAGTGTTTACTGAAAGATTTAGACGTAAAGTGGCACAAAAAATTTTATACATAACGGCGCTTTTAGAAATTATAGGCAATGACAGGTATACGCAATGATGCGCAAGCGGTTCATACTCATAAAACAGTAAAAAATTGCAAACACGAAAATTACAGGACCACTTCAATACTTCCTGCACTCGTCCTAAAATTTGAACGAGTTTTACATAACAAGATAAAAGGGTTCATTCAAAGAAAGATGTGTAAAAAACAACATGGATTTAGAAAAACAACATTCAACTGTGAAAAAACTTATATTGTTCTGTGATGTTCTATACAAGAATTAGAACAAGGAGAATTACCACTCAGGTTATTTTCAGATATTGCAAAAACTTTCGACTCTATTAGCCATACCATCAATTTATACAAGTTTGCCAAAATAAGCTTCGACCATGAGTTTCTTCATTTCTTTTGCGTATTATCTCACAAACAGACAACAAATAGTTTTTCTTCGTATTACATTGTCTCATTCGCGCGATATAACGAGTGGTGGTCCAGAGGGATCAGTTTTGCAGTGATCTTGGTTTCTTTATATATAAGGTTCGCTAGAAAATCCGTCCTTTTTTACGCTGACGATACAAAAATTATTGGAATTTGGTTTGAATTTTCTTCGATTTAACCAGATTTAAGCAATGTAAAAACCTGAGCAGCAGAAAACAAAACTGTCTTCAATTTTGAATTGAATTAAGTAATTTTAAAAAATCAATCAAAACATCTTTTATCTTTTGATAGAGAACAAATAGTTTTAAAAGACACGGTGAAAGTCCTTGGTGTTTGATGCAATTTCAAAATGTCATGGATATACCACATAGCCGAAAGGCTTAAACAAGCAAACATGCATTTTAAATACAGCAAGAGATCTTCGCCAAACTCACTGAGTAGCTTTGTTCGGGTTCCGCTCTTTAAAAATTGCAAACTATCCATTATTTCTTATGCATCTCCAGTTTGGTTTGCGACTAAAAACCGATTTAGGCGAATAGAAAAATTTCAACGACGATTCGATGCATAAAATGTTGTTACAAAATTGTGAATTGTATGACGAGGATTTTATACTTGAACAAAAGCAAACTGTTGCCAATTTCACTGACGTTATATAGAACGATTCAATTTTGCTGAACAACTTTCTTATTAACGAGTTGTCGATAAATTTTCTTGATTTTTGGACAATCGACAATAGCCCTGATTCAAATCGAACGGGAAACAAGACGTTTTTGAGAATGCCAATGATAACACGGAGCAAACTTTGTGAAATTTTTTTTTAAATTTAAAACACACTCGCGAGTTCGAACAATTTGTCTGGCTATGATCTTTTTTAAGAACCTGTAATCTTTAGAAAGAACTTGAATCTGTTATTGGTTGACAAACTACAAATATTTAAATACTAAATTTATCCACAGTCACAGTTTTTAATTTTATTTTACTAACTTTGTTATCAATGACTAAGAGCAACTAATCCCCGCCTTGCGGGCTTAATTCAACATTTTTATTATTATTATGATTTTTATAATTTTTACCAATATATGCCACAACAATCAAAAATGCAATTAAAACCACTTATATAAACTTTACAAAAATAGAAAGCTTTTTATAATTTGCGTTTTCTTATAGTGTGTTTGTATGGTATTGTATGACCAACATTTTGGTCTATGGAGTTAAAGTCAGGTGCCCGACAAGTTCGGCCGATCGATAGATCATTGAACTATTTTGCTTTTATAGAGACAAGACTGATAACTTTTGATTGAGGTGTTGTTCTCAGTTGGCTTACATATATTCATCGCCGCACCCAAAACTGGTTACCAAATATAATTTATTAAGACGTTTGTAGTTTTTAACTTTGGTGAATTGAACTCACTTTGTCAGCTTTTTTGGGGATTTTCCTTCTAGTTTTTTTCTTTTTAAGACTTTCAAACTCCAAAGGCTGTTTTTCAGGCCAAGTGAAGATTGAAAAGCTGAATGAAGTTTACACGGGTTCTCACATACATCAGGAAATTTTGAAAATAGTGGAATCTGAAAAAGAACGGTCTTCACAGCTGATACTGGACAACCCTCGATATCTGCAAGATAGTCATAAAACCAGATTCACGGCTGGAATCTTTTCACAGCTTCGCTATTTGACTGCTCGTGCTCTGTGGAACAATTTACTTCACCCTGGACTCTACTGGTCTCGAATTGTGATTTACTTGCTTCTTGACTTGATAATTGCAGCTATGTTCACTCGGTCGAATGACATCCATGACGAGCACAAAGCAGCCATGATATTTTTCGTCCAATCATATCTCGTAATTTTGACTGTAGCAGCCCTGCCGTACCTTATCCTAGCTCGGCCAGTGTTCTGCAGGGAACGAGCGAATGGACTGGTATCCGTTCTACCCTACATTCTGTCAACATTCATTGCAATGATTCCAGGGATATTTCCACTTTTTCATCCTCATTTAACGCTGTTAAAGCAAAATGTTTTTAACACGAAAGGAAAGAAATTAATAAAATAGTTTGCAGGCGTTCACACAGTAAAATTAAACTATAATAGTATTCTATGAAGCTTTATGATTTTAAAATAGTTTTTAAAATGTTTTCTTTTCAAACAAGCATAATATAGTTTGCAATCAAAGTATTTAATGCAAAAATTTTGATCAATTCAGAGAAAAATGTTTTCCCCCACTTTTCATTTTTCAACATTTATTGTATCTGGTGTTGATCAAGAGCGGAAAGGCCATATTTCGAAAAAAATTTCTACCCCGCGTTTTAAGGCACTTTTTTGGGAAATCTGACAAAAAATTTCGTTTTTCGGCTCACATTTTTCCCTCATGATATTAATTGTCTTCAAAAATGGGATGAGAAACTGGAAATGAGACTACTGTAGGAGTTCTACTTGCAGCTCTGTTGTCATCAATTCTAATATTTTACATCACGGGACTGGAGAACTTTGGGTGGTTCTTCTGCATCCTTTTCTGCACGCTACTTTGTGCAGAATCAATCATGAATTTAGTTGCCTCTTTGACTGACCAGTTCATAGTTGGTTTGGCTATCGGTGCTGGCATTATTGGCATTTTCATGATTAACTCTGGATTTCTGTTACCGAAAGAGGAGATAGCTAACAAATGGTTCACGGGATGGAGACTTTTGTATCACATGGCGTTTCATAAGTACTCGCTACGATCACTAATTTATAACGAGTTCAGTCACCCGAAGTACTTTGTCAACGCAACAGTATGCCAGATCCCATTCGGTTCTGGAAATCCGTCATTCTGGAATGCAAACATTCCAACAAGAGGTTGAAAGTCAAACTTATTCATACATTCTGAAACTTATACACACAACTCATACTTACATACTGAAAAAACATTAAAGCCCATCAAAATGTACCCTAGTGTTTTTGAAAATTATGATGATCGCAATGTTTTGTTCCAGCACATCTGGGGAACATTCCTTCTTCGTACTGTTCGCCCATCTTGCGACAATACGGGATGGAACATGAAAACCCTGGATTTGACTGTCTGTGGCTTCTGATGTACATAGCTGTGGTCCAAATCATATTGCTACTGGTCACATACTTCAAACATACGGGAAGACGTTGATGATGTCACGTGACCGGATAACTCACTCAAAATGAAGAGACTAAATTGTAAAAATGTTCAAATAACGTAGCTTACGACTACGTAGTTTGAGGGTCGGTAAAACTAACCCAAAAAAAATATTTAGTTTTTATTTTTGTATTGACAAATCAAATTCAGATAGTGGTTCTCTGTAACATTGTAGCAATCTTTGTTTTAAAGTATGGTACTGATCGAAGAGTAGTCATTGAGAAGACAGTTTATCTACGAGGGGAAGGTCCTTCAGAAAAACTTTGGTGTTAGGGTCAGTCGGCCGAAGGCGGATGTCGTAAAGTAGTCCTAGAGGGGATCCTTGGTTCGCGAAGGGGTCGAATCACTGAGAAGGGAAATGGCGTCCGTCTATGCCCCTCCCCCGAAATATTCCCCTGTGTTCAGCTATTTATGGAGAATCCGCTAAGAACAGCATACAAGTTTTTCTTCACTTTTTTGGGCTAAAATATTGTTTCCTGGCCAAAGAGCCTGGCCAATGGTGGGTATCGGACGATCAATTTTTCGTCTGAGATGGAAACCTTAGCCACCTCCCCAAACATAGTATTGTCAATTATAAAGTTCCTCCTAGATGATGCTGTGTTTTATATATCAGCTAAGTGAGAAAAACTAGAATGAAATAAACTTAAGATAGGAAAAAACAGAATTGAATTGATAAATGATGTTAACCTATTGATGATTATTTTGAATCATGTTACAAATTTGTCATATGTTTCATCTCTTTTTAATGTTTTTTTTGCAAGCACGAATTGACAAATTGTGATGTTGTATTTTTGTTCTGATCATTTAACAAAAATCTTCGGAGTATTTGCTAATATTTTCTTATTCTAGGTAAAATTCGCGAAGTTTGAGCTTGTTTTATGTAAATCAAGGTAATAAGGCTTAAGTGATTCGACAAAACGCGAACATGAACATACCTGTTGAAACAACATAAGACTTTACACATGAAACTATATGGTCGCTACTAATAAATAGCCAAAACAAGAATTAGCAAATATTCTTTATAGTATTATTTTTCAATATTCATCAGCAGAACTTTGCTTGACTTGTTGGTTTTTGGCAAAACCTTCGAATATAAAAAATATGGTTAACCATTCTAAATTTTCCCACCGAAAACACTTAGATGGCATTCGTGGATTGGCGTGTCTAATTGTTATTCTTTTCCATTGCGACTTGCCATTATTTTCCAACGGTTTCGTGGGCGTCGACATATTTTTCGTCCTTTCCGGTTTTCTGATTTCATCTATATTATTGAGAGAGATAAAAGATACTGAAACTCTTGATTTCAAAGTTTTCTACGCGCGGAGGTTCCGACGACTATTTCCAGCATCCGCCATCGTTCTGATTTTCACTGCAATTTTATACCGCATTTTGGAACTTCCAGACTATGTTGACAAACATAAAGGATCTTTTATAGCATCTTCGCTCTACTCACAAAATTGGTATGGATTGAAAATGGCACTGGATTATTTCACCGACAAAGGTTCAGACCATAGTCCCGTCATCCATTTTTGGTCGCTTTCAGTCGAAGAACAATTCTACGCTTTCTTCCCTATTTTCCTGTTCCTGGTTTTTCAATTATTCCAGAAAAATCTGAAGTTCATATTCACGTTCTTTATGCTGGTTTTATCGATTACTACCGGGTTAAATTGGAGCATAGCTGTGGATAATCCAATGAATTCTTATTTTTCAACCTTCGGTCGACTGTACCAATTGTTTACGGGTACAATAATTTCACTTATAGTATTGTTTTATGAAGAGAACAAAAATTATCTAATGAGAAGTTCATTTTTTCCGAATCAAAAATTAAAAAATTTTGCAGATTTTCTGTCTGGAGGAATTTTTCTGCTACTTCTTTTCGTTATTTTAGATTTTAATTTAGACGCCTTTTATCTGGGAATGTTGACAACAATGTTTTCATTCCTTTTAATAATTATTCTAGAAGTTTCTGAAAAAAATGGAGTCATTAAAAAAGTATTATTTCACAACCGAGTTTTGTGTTACATCGGAAAAATATCATACGGGAGTTATCTAGTGCATGTTCCAATGACTAAATTTGGCGAAATAGGCGGCTTCTTGCCAGCAAATTTACAATTACGAGCTCTTGTTATTTCGATATCCACTTTTTCAACCGCAACCTTTTTGTGGCACGTGATTGAGAGCCCTTTGACCAAAAAAGTCAAAATTGAAAAAAAATCCGCACTCCGTGTTATCCTATTTTTCCTTATGCTTACAGCTTTACTACCTTGTATCCTAGCGCTTATTTTGCAAACTAAAACTAATGCCTATCATCATATTAACCAAGACAAGACGTCAAAAATTATGATAACGGCCAATGAGTCAGCGAAACTTTCAAACTGCCAGCTTTTTAGTAGGTATGACAGCATTTTAATAGCCGGCGATTCGTTTGCACGTGCGTGGCTTCAACCATTTTCTGCCTTTGGAAATCAATGCAACTCTTCCGTTGAGATTAAAATGGTATCCAATTCCGCCACAGTATATTTGCGACATTACAAAAGTCAAAATTTATTGAATAATAGAATGATAGATGCAAAAGCACTGAATAATGTTACCTACACTTATTTGGAATCGAAACGGCCAAAGCTCACCTTGTTTTTCTCAAAGTCAATCCACGGAGCCAAAATGTGGTATAAAAATTATACAATAGGTGCACCAATTGACTTTGAACTTTGGAAAACAGTGATTCGGAAAATGTTTTTGGACTTCATTCCCTACGTTTCAAACTACACAACGCCAGTGTTTGTAATTGAACATCCAAGTACAGTATATAATCCAGAGCCGTGCATTAAGCGAATCAGAAACACATTTGGAGAAAACTGGTTGAGCCATACAAATGAATGCACAATGTATCTATTCTATGACAGAGGCGTGGCCTATCTTCGAGAAATGTTCAGCGAATTCAAACAAAAGTTCCACAAGTTTCACTATATCGATATGGGACCAATTTTGTTCGGATACAATTGTACACATAAGCTGAAACCTGTATTTGTGAATGGAGTCCAGGTTTTCCTAGATTCAAGCCATTTGACACCCGATTTTGCTTCACTAAACTTCGAAAAAGTGTTGAGAAAACTACCAAAGATTGAGTCAAACTAACTTACACCAACTCTCTATTTTGCCAAAGACTTTTGTTGATTATATTCTTGTAGCTTGCTAGTTTTTTAAATTTTAAATCTATTATTAATTTGTTTGTACATCAACTTCAGTTTGTTGTTCTCCTCTGGTACACCTAATAAAATGCACCAATATTGAAACTAAACTAAGCTTAAAATAAAAAAGTAAAGATTAGAGCTCATTTAAAATGTATAATTTTTAACTATCACGTCAACTTCAGTTTGTTGTTCTCCTCTGCTACACCTAATAAAATGCACTAATGTTCAAACTAAACTAAGCTTAAAGTAAAAAAGAAACTAAAGATAAGAGTTCATTTAAAATGTGTTTTTTTTCTAACTATCACGCATTATCATTTAAAATGAAGATTGCTACCCTAAGTGAATGCGATGACGACCTGTAAAAATGAGTAAAATGAGTGAAATTATGCCAATGAAAAATGCTAGCATTAGTGAAGGTCACGGCGACCTGCTAAAAAGAGTAGTTTAGATTAAATTAGAAGACAATCACAAAACTTCCCTTAAATGGGAAAAATTATAATACTACAAGATATAAATGCAGATGATCCTTTCCTCCCTCTGGGCGAGAGCGAGAGTTACCGATTTAAGACAATAAATCACATCTAACTACATGAAAAGTTTAAGGACAACAGTTCGAATGGAAAACGTACGAGAGTGAAGTTGTTGTTGCTAAAATAATAACTAGAATTTTTGCAACTTTATCCAAGGAAATTTGCAAATAAACTCGGTAAAAACAAAATTTTCAAAGTTATGGTCGATAAAATTATAGGAGTGAATTGCATCAACTGAATGATAGGGAAAAAGAGGTTAAAGTTTAAAAAACGCCGATTTGTTTGATATACAAGAATAACTTTCTTTCAACTGTGTTGACTATAAATCCGACGAGTTTACATTTGACAAAGTTAGCTTCTGAAAACTTTGCGCGATGCCAAACTTTGCACCTAATCTGGTTTTATTAAAACAGTGCGGAAATCAATTAAGGACTGAAAAAAAGAACACTATCAATTTTTCAATCTAAACACATACTAGATAAAATTTTACTATCAAATTTTCAATCTAAACACATAGTAGATAAAATTTTAGTTTCAAGTTTCGGGGAGAAAGTTTTTCAGGTAAATGTCAACATGTCTGATGAGGTTCGAAACGGTGTCAGAATCTTCATTGTCTGCCTTAATTGAGGTAGACAAAAAAGTACGTAGGTCCTCTACTTCTTTTTCAGTGAAATTTCTTGACTCCGGTATCACTTCCGTTAAAGCGTTTGAAATGAGGAGGAGTGTCCGGCTGATTTACTGAGAAACAAGTACCCTTCTATAAAGGTCTTCGTTTTCTGCGCTTTCATCTTTTATGGTCTCCTAACTGAGCGTAATTGGAAAGTCAGCTCTCCCAATTCCTTGGTCACCTACAATATCTACAAATTACCTTTTACCGTAGAATTTACCGAGGCCCAACATTCGTCTATGTCTTGTAGAAAAACGGTTAAATTGTTCAGATGAGTCGGCACTTCTATTAAGAGGGATACCTGTGGCGAAAAAATCATCGTAATTTTCGTAGACTACGGGTTGTGAAGCACCATTGTCTCCCGGTGGTTGTTGATCCGGCAGATTGTCATAAAATCAATTGCCTTAAGGGGTTGAATTGCATCCGGAGATCCCAGTCCAGTATGATTTGGAGTTTAAGACGGGTGTATGGTTTTACTCACAAGATCCCTGTTAGTTCCAATCTAAATACACTTATTCAATATTAACAAGTTTATCCGATGGAAAGGGTTCTGAGTAGTGATATGATTTCGAGTTGTACTCATCACTAATATGCCTTTCTCTGCGAACATCCCTACAAAGAAAACCGCCTACGGTCTGTTCACAATCACAACGGTCTGATGTTTCAAAACGTAAGAAAAACGTTTCGTCTTCAACTAATTAATCTGGTGAGAAATTTTTTCCTTTTCCCTCTTCCCGATAGTTATTTCGTATTCTTCGGTTTTGGTTTTGATGTTTTCGTCGAATTTTTAGTGCCCGTTTTAGTTATCGTCAAGTTGTCCGATGTTGAGATTGCAACCTTTTGTTGTGTTCTCAGACCCATTCTTCTCTTCTTTGACACTTTTTCACAACAATCGTTAGAATTGGGTATTGTAACGCTACCTTTAAAAACTTTGGGTTGTTTAAAATTGTTGTCACGTATCGCTATGCTGAATTTCCGGAGGATTTACCCGCTCGCAATTTTTACCGCAATAATTGGGGGTTGAATAACTTTCTCACCCAATGGTTGGTAACATGGTTTTCATTTCCTTAAAACCTTTCAAAAGATATCACTTTTCTTGATTGGGTTCGAAAGAGGTTGTTCGGTTGTCTTCGGAATGTCTTTCGTCATTTGCATCTTCTGAGGAGTTGACGGCCTTGGTTCGGAGTGATAACCTTTTTGTGGGGTTGTCTTTTCTTTTTCTCCAAAGGAGTTTTCAGATAACCGTCTTCCACTCTGTCATCTGCTGCCCAATTGTTGTCTAATCGACTTCCCGTTGTCAAAAAAGTCATTTTTACTTTGGGTGACAAAGTTTTTCCAGAGAGTATTTGGTTTTCTAATGAAGTGCTTTTCGACAGTATTTAAATCATTTTTGGGCTTTATGATACTCCTAGGAATTTGAACCGAATCGGTTTGTGAAATTTTCGTTGTTTCTGATGACATCGTAAGTAATTTCTTTTTATCTTATGTTCAAATGTTTGCACCAATTCGTTTGAACAAAAATCGTAACTGTACAAAAAAATGTTAATATTCTCGAACAACAGGATGATTTAAATTTTTTTCCGTAAAACATGAGGCAAAATAAACTTAGAAATCCACGTAGATGAACATAATCAGTAAGAAAATCGATATTTGTTTCAGCAGAAGTACTTGAAATTAATTTCGCGCAATGGAAAATTGCGCAAAATTAATTATCTATGAGTCTCTATCTCCACATAAAAGAATATAATAACCAAACTGAACCCAAAGCAGTCGAAAGTCTAAATCGATTTCTTTGTGTACGAATTTCAATTCAGAGAGATGGTGTGAATGTTTTTCATAAACTAGTGGCTTAAGGTTTTTACTCGTTTTGATACAGTCTGAGCAGTTCCTCCCATGAAAGTATATCATTCGGTTTAAATGGCGCCACCACGGTTTTACGACAAAAATTTATCCGATATTGATCAGGGTGGTTTCATACAATATTTTCAGGGCCGCTGTAATTAGAACGTAAGGCAAACATAAGTTGTTGTCCATATAAAGGAAACAGTTTGAAGTATGAAGGTCTTACGGAGGTCGTAAAATAGTTGGACTTAGCGACCCCATTTAGTGATACAAAATTCTTTTTTCATCAAAAATTTAGATGTTATTTTATTCGGATAGTATACGATTAATTTCTTATTGAAGAAACTGTTCAGTTCTACCAATTTTTTGGGCAATTTCAGTTACTCGCGGTAATTTTTTGCTAATGAGGGTTGTTCGCAAGACATTGCTTTGATAACAAAAATTACGTTATTTCTGGTCGAGGAAGAAGTTTTTGCAATTCCACTATTTACTCTTACATTTTTTTACAATATTAGATTCCATAGGAAATCTTTTTATTTGTAAATGTACAGAATAAAAACAGTGGGGAAAGGTAAAACCTAGTATGAGATAATTGATGAGTTAATTTTAGAAAAAGCCAGCGATCTAAGGAAGCAAAAATATGAGCGGTAGTGGCCGAAACTGCAAACCTTCTATCTGAAAATAACTGAGTTTAGAATAGAAGCGAAACTCTTATTGCGTAGTTTTGCGTCATTGGAGTTTTCCGAAACTTGACCTATCAGATTCGAGACATTGTTCAACTACTGTTTCAACGAAATATCCGATAGGTTAGTGATTGAAGTGTTTTTAGAAATTGTGGCTACTACGAACTCGTGAGTGAATTTTGTTAGCGGTAATAGTTTTTTTTGGAATCCTTGAAATAAGATCAGTAAAACCTATATCTTTTCCGACTAATTTTTTATCCAAAAACTGAAAAATGGAAGCCTGTCAACCCATCTTGTTAAAAGATTGTGATAAATTTAGTTCACGGGGTTACAAGACTGAATTGCTGCAAAATTATTGGAATCGTTAGTGACAGTTTTTTAGTGGAAATTTCAGAAACAGAAGCTTCACAATAGCATCAGTATTGTGTGGTTTTACAAGGTTTTATATGGTCCTCAAAAAAGTTGCCAGATTAGTTCGCATGCCAACTTAGAATTCCATGTAGATGAACATAACCAGTGAGAAAATCGATATTTGGTTTAACAGAAGCACTTGAAAGTAATTTCGCACAATGGAATGTTGCGCAAAATTAGTTATCTATGAGTAATTATTTATCTATCAAATAAGGTTTCAAGCTAAAAAAATAAAATTCAAACAATTAAAAACATTTCTTCTGAAAACTGCAACAGGCATTCTCAATTTGCCCCTTAAACTACGAAGCATCAGTGAAATAGGTCAATAAAACATCCGCTGATTTCACTTAGTAGAAAAATTCAATGAATTTATTCAAATCCAGATTTCGTAAATTGAACCATAGAACATACTTTATATCAATAAAACCAGGGGTCCCACTAAAACTGGAAGTAATTGATTGATACTTTTTTTAACATGTTTACTGATGCGGGATAAAATCTGGTATTTAAAAAACCTTGATTGTTTCTCTACAAAAACATGTGATCTGTCGCAAGTGTACGGGAGATGCCTATTACACGTTCTTACAAATGAACTCAAAATGAAAATAGGCACAATCGTGGACTTTTCCAGCAACCTGGTCATCTAATTGAAGTTGCTATGAAATGCATTATGTCGAAAAAAATGCCATGACATGTCATTCCGATTGAACTGTTAGTTTAGTTTTGGAGAAGTGAAAAGTTTTGTAAGAATTCACAAAAAGACGAATTTTTCCGAGTGTGAAAAAAAAAACATCTTTTTTTACACAAATAAAGGAGACGACGCATTTGCTAAAAGTCTTTCTGAACCACTTCATT